GATCAGAGTCAGTGAACTCAGGGGGCTTCCATAGCCTTGACAGCTCATGACAAGAGCCTAGGGTGATTACTGATGCCATAAACAAGAGTGTCAATTTGTTAAGTCAACAACAGGAGTCACTGTGCACTTACTCCTCATGTAGGATCTTCGTCCTTAGTGTGCTGTACATTGAGATTTAATGCTATAACTAGTACTCAAACAGTATTTTTCACTTTATGTTTCTGTGTGGGAGCAAACTGTTGAAATCTTTACTTAATGTATGCTAGAATGATCTTCTGTATATAAAGAGAAACGAAAATGAATCTTGATGTGAATGGAAGGGGAGAGGGAGTGGGAAAGGGGAGGGTTGCGGGTGGGAGGGACGTTATGGGGGGGAAGCCATTGTAATCCATAAGCTGTACTTTGGAAATTTATATTCATTAAATAAAAGTTTGAAAGCAAAAAAAAAAAAAAAAAAAAAAAGCAAAAAAAAAAAATGAATACATATATAAAAAAAGAAAGAAAAAACTCAAAGATAAATTAGAAAGTTATTCAACTGGATGAAAACTAAAACCACAACATACAGGAACATGTTAGGCTGCAGGGCTTGAGAACTGTTTTTTTCTACCAAAGGCCATTTGAATATTTATAACATCATTCATGGGCCATGCAAAGTTATTAACTTCAACATTAGCCTGCTATATATTGAATTTCAAGTCCCACCTGTGGTTGCCTTGGAAGAGCCAGACCAGTTGATTTCACAAGCATTATGGCCCTCAGGCTGGTTTTCCACCCCTGATAGAGGGAAATTTATTGTACTAAATGCCTATGTTGGAAAAGAAACAAGATTTTTAATCAGTTACCTCAACTTCCACCTTAAGGCACTGGAGAAAAAAGCAAATTAAATCTGAAATATAGAGGATATGAAATAACAGTAACCAAAGTGGAAGTCAATGAAATATAAAAGAGAAAAGCACTAGAGGAAAATCAATCAAACCAAACTTGATTCTTTGAAGAGACCAATAAAATTAATAAACCTCTATCTAGCCATACAGATTGGGAAAAATGAAAAGAAGACACAATCTTCCAATATTAGGAGATGCAGACAACTACCAATTATATTGCCATTAAAAATTGTATTAATAACCTTGTTCCAATAAATTTATCTGCTTAGGTGAAATTGAAAGATTCCTTGAAATATACAAACTAACAGAGATCACTGAAGAAGAAATAGATAATTTGCATAGCCCCCTTAAACTACTAAAGAAATTGGAATTGTAGATAAAAATCTTCACATAGGGAAAGAAATGAAAATTATCTCTACTTAGAGAACATAATCCTACATATACAAAATCCTGAAGAATTCATAAAAAACTATTAGAGCTAGTAAACAAATTCAGCATCATACAGGATCAACATATAAACATTAGTCATATGTCTATGAGCCAGCAACAAATAATACAAAAATTAAATTAACAGTTCCCTTTAAAATAACACCCAAAGAATAAAATACCTAGGGATAAATTAAACCAAGGCAAAATACACTGGAAACTACAAAAACATTACTGAAGAAATTAAAATAAAATAGAAAAAAATATAATCCATAAATATTCATAGGTTGAAAAACTATTTTCAGATGTCAAAAGTACCTCAAACAATCTATAGCCTCTATATAATTTCTATCAAAATCCCAATAACTTCCTTGAAGAAATGGAAAATTCAAATTCATATAGAATTCCAAGGAAACCTTGTAATTGTAAGGAATAGCCAAAACAATCTTGAAGAACAAAAGTAAAATATTCAACACTTCTCAATTCTAAACCTTACTGCAAAGGTTCAATAACCAAGAATGTGATTCTGTTATAAGGATAGAAAGATACATAGACTAATGGAATAGAATTTAGGGCTCCGAAATAAACCCATACATCAATGAACAAGGCCACTTAATGAAGAAAGGATAGTTGTTTCCAACAGGTAGTTCTGAGACCACAGAGTAGTTGCAGGTAAAGAATTGAAGCTGAACCCCTGCATCATACTGTATAAAAAAGTTAAGTAAAAATGAATCAGTGACCTTAATAGAAGAGCTAAAACAATACAACTCTTAGTAGAAAAACAGGGGCAGTTTCATGATCCCGGATTTGACATGAATTTTTGGATTTGACAACAAAACACCACCACCAACAGCAACAAAAAATTAGGTATATTGGAGTCCATCAAAATTAAAAAGTTTGTGTATTAAAGGACATTATTTAAAAAGTGAAAAATAACCTACAGAGTGGGAAAAATATTTGTAAGTCCTGTATCTGACAGGGGCCTTGTATCCAGAATATGTGAAGAACTCTTACCATGTAATAACAAGAAGTCAAACAAAAAAGGACAAGGACTTGAGTAGACATTTTTCCAAAGGTATAAAAGTGGCCATTGAGCATGTGAAAAGTTGTACAACACCATTGTCACTAAGGAAATGTAGATTAGAATCACAATGAGAAACCATATTCACAAGGATGGCTATAATTTAGAAAGTGGAAAATAGCGCGTGTTGATGAGGATGTGGAGAAACTGGAATGCTTTGCACTGATGGTGCAGTGTGAAATGGCTCAGCCACTGTAAGAAACTGTTTGTGGTTCCTCAAACAGGTAAATATAAAATCACCAGATGAGACCTCAATTCCAATCTAAGGTATATACCCAGAAGATTTGAAACAGGTATTCAAAAAGAACACGTGCACACAAGTTCATACCAGCGTTGTTCACGGAAGCTTACATGGAAATAGACCAGTGTCCATCAATGGATGAATAGATAAACAAATTGTAGCCTATGCACACAATGGAAAAATATTCAGCTACATGATGGAGCAAAATAGTAATGTGTGCTCTAACTTGAATGAACTTCAAATGCTGAGTGAAAGAAATCTGACATAAAAGGCCACACATTGTATAATTCCATTTGTATGCAAAAGCTGGAATACAAACCCTAAAGGTGGAATGCGGATTGCTGATCGACAAGGGCTGTGGGATAGAGAACTGGGATAAACTGCTGAATGGGTTAGGGCTTTTACTCTTGAGTGAGGATAATGTCTTGGAACTGGATAGAAAAAGTGGTTCCTATCATCGTGAGTGCACCTGATGCCATCAAGTTGTTCACTTTAAAATGATGAATTTTAGTTTTCCTTAGGTGTATTTTAAAAAGTCAAGGGGCCATTTCAGTTTTCAGTAAAGGAATATTCAACCATATAAAGGTTTGTCCTAAATGTTTTCAGAGTTGCTTTACTTGTAACAGCCAAAGACTGGAAACAGCCCATAGATACATCAACAGGGAAATGGAGTAGCTGATTATGATACATCCATACAATGGAGTACTACTCAGGAAGAAAAAAACAGTTTTCACATGCAGCAACATAGACGAATCTCAAAAGAATTATGCTGAGTGAAAGAAGCCAGACAAAAAGTTTTCATAATGTATGATTATATTTATATAAATCATAATAAATCATAAATCATAATGTATGATTATATTTATATAAAATTCTAGAATTTCTCAAAATAGATCCGTGCTTGAATAGGGAAGTGTGAGTATATAGAAAGTGGGAGGCAGGGCAACAAGCAAACTTCTGAAGCCTATGAATATATTCTTTATCTGGATATGTGTAATGGTTTTAATTTGGTGCACACACTTATCAAAACTTATCGCATTGTCAACTTTAAACATGGTGGCCTATTGTGTGTCCTAATGCGTCAATAAAGCTTTAAAAAAAATCAGACACATTTGAAAAAAGTTAAACATACTCCTACTCTGTGATCCAGTCATTCTACTCTGAGGAAAAGTAAATAAAATATGTTTTTACAGAAATGTATGCACAGATGCTCATATCAGCTTTCTTTGTAATTCTGGAAACAACCTAGATATCCATCGCAGGTGAATGAATCCACCCATTGTAGCACATCCGTGTAAGGAGTTAGCACACAGCAACACAAGACACACATTTTTAAGATACAAAACAACAGTAATAAGTCTCAAAAGGATCAAGCTGAGTGGAAAAAAGTCAAGCAGTGCGTGCTGTGTGATTTTAGTGCTGAGAAATTCTAGTAAACACAAACTTAGAGTGACAGCAGAGCAACTGGGAAGTGGGGTCAGTGTTGGAGGGAGAGACTTACAAACAAGCATAAGAAAGTTTCCATGCGTGATAGATACGTACTGTGGTGATGGCTTCCCAGGTAAATGCAAATATCAGAGCTTGTACCATTGTCCACTTTCTGTGCAGTTTATTGTATGTCACTGGGTGAGAAACTACCATAAAGTCTCTATCTAGAACGTATGACTGTGCACTCCACGCTCAAAATGCTCCAAGGCTCGCAGGTCTTAAGGGGTCAGTGCTGGCATAAAGGATGCCACTCTCCTGCGTCCTTGTCCTGCACCCGCGTGCCACCTCATCATCCTATTCTGCTCTGACAGTGCGCCTCCAAACTCCTCCAGCACCTTTGTTCCTGCCACCCCTTCGGCTGAGATGTGCTTTCACTTCTCACCTCTCTAAAAAATAGGTGCTGGGTGAATATTTTGGAGTTGAGTTGGATACTTCAGTTCCTAAATTACTTTGTCTTGGATTCATCTGCAAGGCATTGTGTCCATCAATATGAGCAAGGTTGTTTGAATCCTACACCTCGAGCTACCTTCATCGTAAGCCCCAATGAAATGTAAAGCAAGAATTTCATGTAAAATTAAGGAAAAAATCCCCACTCTTTTCTGAGTCAGGCTTTGTTATTGGCACCATCTGCAAGTGACAAATGGGCAATTTGGTCCATGGAATTCAGAGAAGGCTGAACTTCTAGACAGGTAAGCTGTTATGAATTACTGAACTGACTCCAACAGTTTCTGCCTCATTCTCCAGGTCAAGACTCATTGTTTCAGAAAGCCACCCGCTGTCCCCTTTAAAATCAATGTCTGTATCCTGGTTAGCTGGATGAGAATTATTTGTCATTTTCAATAAAAGATTTTTTTCTTCTAGGATTATGCCCCGTGGGTACCTGGACTCTTTTGAGGTCTGGGGTCCATTATGGCTGTCGGCTCTCACCTGTCAAAAGTCAGAGTTGAGCTTTAGTTAGCCTCAGACAACAGTATGAATCTTCGAATCATGACAGTATCGGCAGGTGCTCAGAGACACTGGTGAGGCAGATTGTGAGGTTCCTCCCTTTCCAGTCTGATGTTTCTCTCCACGCTCCTGAATCTGATGGTACCCATGGTAACAAGGATAAATCCAAGCAGCCTCTGCTCACCAAGTGCATGGAGATGTTGCAGAGACGCTTGAAGGAGCCATCTTCCCTGGGCTTTGCCTGTTTCTGCCCTCTAACGAGAGAGCCCTGGGCACATGGCAACACCACGGAAGAGAGAAAAGATCAGGGCAGAGAGCAGGGAGCTAAGGATAAAACAGAACCCAGGGACCTCTGCTGGCCCAGAAGAAGGATAGACAACGCCTGCTCCATGCCAAGGACATGCTATCTTCAGAGGGGCCTGTGAGGCCAGCACCAGGGGCTCTCTTCTTCACTTGCATTGGCCAGCTACATGGCTTGTTCCTAAGGTTGCCTGATGCTGGGGGCTGACACTGGCACTGTGACACTGAATCTGAGAGGTAAAGGCCTTTCCTGGACAGCTGCTGGCAATCCCACGACCTACACATGGAATGATACATCGGACTGGGGGAGAAGGAACAGGTGACAGCTTTGGAATTAGCTTTGGAACTAGGGATGAGTTGGTGACCGACTTTTCCCTGGAATTAGTAAGACTCAAAATAGCAAGTCCTGAAAAGGAAGATGCCAGGGCAGCCCTGGATCAAGTGGGGAGGAGGCAGGGGGTCCTTTGTCTCCTGAGATGTTGTGATTCCTCCTCTTCTGCTTCCTCCCCTTTCTCAGCATAAACCCAATAATTCTTCCTCCAAAAGGATGCGTCTCCCAGCAATTCTTTAATCATATGCATATGAGTATATATGTATTTACACACATACACACACACAGACATGCAAGAGGTCTTCAAAGAGTTTGCAAAAAATGAACATTATCTTTTAATTCCATTTTCTACAAATATTTTGAAGCATCCTCTAAAGGCTTCAAAAAGTTCATGGGAAAATATAACTACAAGATAATGAGAATTGTCCATGAATGTTTGGAACCCTGAATACATGCATATACACACATAGTTTAAACAGGGGTGAAAGCCTTACGATGGAGACCAGTTCTCAAAGCATACTTTGGTGGTTTATCATAAGTATGTGGTAGCTATTTGAAGATCAGTAGGGGAGCCATCCTGCACCCTGAAATCATCCCAACCCAGTCTAGGAAAACACGTTCTGCCTTGAGGAGTGCCTGCAGAATAGCAGAAGTGATGATGTGAGCAAATGGCAAGCTTTCCGGGACTTATTAAGGGCGTGTAGGAGAATTACTGCCCGCAGCCTCATCAGGTGCAGTGAGCCCTAATGCCTGGGAAAAGGGCCCAAAGGCCTTTGTTCCTTAAAGAGAGATTCTGTGCAAGACAGAGGACAATAGCCTACTTAAACTTTGCCCACCCCTCATAACATAGAGCCAATGTTAAAAAAAAATTAGCTCTAAATTTTTGAATCAAACCCATGGGATCCATCCTGGTTTCACCACCTGAAGGACGATTGGGATGCACCGTCTCCAGCTCATCACCCTGCCCCCCACTCCCCAGCTCAATCCTCGCAGGTGGGACTGGGCCGCTTCTCCCAGGCAGTATTTAGACTAGCTCCAAATCAGACCACAGGACTGTGCAGGAGAGATACACTGTGGGCGACATATTTCACAGTGCAGTGTTTACTAGAAGTTATTCATGGCTGTTCTTTGTCAAAAGGCCAAAATCATTTTTTTCTTGGTAAAAATACTGAAGAATTTGCAAAGCCTTTGCAGTTTATAAAATTCATTTACATACATTATTTCTTCGATGTGTCAGAACTATCCTATTGTGAGTTAGCTGGTTTTACACATAAAAAACTGCATTTAACAGAGGATGAGCCAGGTGGCTGGCCCCTGGATTCCCAGACAAGCCCCGGAGGACACCACACCGGTGCCCATGGTCACTTCCTTTTGATTGCTGTATGTAGAGGATGGTAAAGTGAGCTCCTGATCTTCCAGTCTCTGTGAAGGACCCCAAAGTCACAGATTGGGGACCGCTGTGCCCTCAGCTCCCCATCCACCATAAACCGAGATACTGGATAAGGAATAGGGTGTGGTGGTTCAGGGTGTTAGCGCTGGGTTCTGTCGGCTATGAGAGATGGCACTGTGAATCCATTATAATGCCTCTCGCTGCCCGTTTCTTCATGTATAAAATGGAGGTGAAAATATGACACTCCTCCACCTCAGAGGATTACGATGAGGGTTCCTTCTGATAAGCAGCACTCAGGGCATCATAGGAGTTCAGTAAATACCAGTTATTAAGTCCTTCCCAGGTTGACTATTCTGGGGTTCTATGGTTGTTCAACAATGGCTAGCATTTCTTGGGTATTTAACACATTCAAGGCAATTCTACATAATATGCAATTATGTACTCCAAAGGGTTTATGGAAATTGGAATTAGAATATAAGTTTATTTTGGTGCAAAAATTGTTGAAATCCGTGAAAATGAGAGGTTCTCAAAAAGCTCATGAAAAATATGTATTATGAAAAAATGATGCATGGACTTCAAAAATTTTTTGCACCAAAATAAACTTTTATTCCATTTTTCATGAACTTTTTGAAGGACCTTCCTATACATATATTTCATATATACCCATATGTATGAAATTCCTTAGATTCTCAAAACAATACCATAAAGCTCATATTATTTTTACAATGGCAAAATACTCAATTACAGACAAAGAAACAATTATTAGAGAGATTAATCAACTTGCCTTCGATCACATAATTAAAGAGGCAGAATTCTAACTTGAGAGTTGGCCTTAACCACTTTGCTCTTCCACCTATCTGAGAAAGAATAATGAAATCTTTTCAGAGTTCTGTTTACATTTATTATCATCACCTCCAAGCTAATAAACCTTTCCAATTTAGCTCTTTGATGTCACGCAGGAGAATCTCCTCACCATCGCTGTCTAGCCTGTTGGTTGTAATGCCATTTGGGATTTGATGAATATGATACTAAGTGATCCTATTTCGTTCTAATTATATAGCTTAAGAAGCTTAGGGAGAACAAGCCCAAGGCAGTAATAGGATTCCTCTGCAAAATTTTCAATTGCAAAAAAGCTTCTAAATCACCACAAACTTGCACACTCAGCCACACCATGCAGTGCTTACCGCAAGCCTGGAGGTTGTTTATCCGGTTCTTTCATAGGAAAGTGCCCTGTGCTGTGGTCTCCTGAACTCACCTGTTCTCTGTAAGCTCTGGTGCCAGGGTGAGGGTTAAGTACAAGTTCTACCTGAAATCTGAACCAGCAGGAAGTTCTCGAACGATAACCCTTGGGAGGATTTTGCTCCTGCCCCAAATTGGAATGGAAGCTGATGGCCTCCGGGGAAACCCTGGGCTTTCATTCCTCCTGTGGCTTGGCACAGAACTGCCCTTTGTATTCCAAGCATCTAGCACCAAAAACTGAAAGCAAACAAGTCATTAAAAAAAAATTCCTACTAGACTTTGGACAACTGCCGCAATAACTCTTACTGAGGACAGTACCAACCTGGCCTTGACCTTCTTCAGTGACTGCCATTGAAACCATTCCTTTGCTTCCCACCTATCCATATCTTACCAATATCCTCCTGGATAGCGTAGGAAGGAATCCTTGGTACCAGACGAGGAGACAAAAGCTGGCTTCTCCAACACCCTTGTACATGCCAATAGGTTCTAGGCAGAGTTTCTCATTCACCCCTAACAGAGCTATTGTCAACAACAGCAGGTGCGAGGTGTTCTCTCCTGCACAGCCACCCAAAGGCTCTTCAAAATAAGGTGTGTGAATGGCCACTTTTAGATCTACTGAGAAACATCTGGCCATCTAAGGGCCTTAGATATATTTTAATTTATATTACAAACTTTTAGGGGAGAAGAGGAAGTACTAATGAAATGTATCCCGTGGAAGTACAGAATTGTCGTCTTTATTCTCCCAGCTGTATTAGCTGGGCTTGGAATTAACTCTTCCATGTATTCATTGTATGGCCCTGGCAAGTTAAGTTCTCTGAGTCAGTTTCCTTGTCTGCAAAATGGGATGAATTTCTAGGATCTTTTTTTAAAAATTAAGTAAGAGTTCACATAAACGAGCATGCAGCACAGTGCTTGATCTATGGTTAGCAGTTACCAAGATTACTGCTGTTTTTCTCTTTTGTATCCCGTGGAGTTTGAAGGTGTTACTGGATCCTTCATTTAGCACACCTAGCTGGGCTTAAGGCATGCAGAAATGTATTGATTTGGTGTTCACTTCCTGCCCAAGACCAGTTTTGCTTGTCTTAGGAGAAATGATGGATTGTGATCTATTTCCTGGATGAATATCTTGGAAGCAATCTTTAGTATCTTTACATTTGATCTTTAACCAGATATTGCTAGTTACAGCTCTAAGTAGTTCATAGAAGGCTTGTGCTGATCGCCACAGACAAAGCTACCATTGTTGTGATACTGATACTTAGCCAAAAAGAAGAGGGAAAATTACTTTTAAGATTAATGTTCCTGGGGTAGGCATTGTGGCACCACCGTGGTCTGGAATCCCATGTGTAAGTTGCTCTGATAAAATCTTTTATTCTTTTTTTTTTTTTTTTAAGATTTACTTACTTATTTGCAAGGGGGAGAGAGAGAGAGAGAGAGAGAGAGAATCTTCCATCCACTGGTTCACTTTTCAAATGGCCACAACGGCTGTGGCTGAGTCAGGTAGAAGCCAGGCGCTTCTTCCAGGTCTCCCATGTGAGTGTGAGTGCAGGGGCCCAAGCACATTAGCAGAGAACTGGATCAGAAGTGGAGCAGCCAGGACTCAGACCGGCTGGAGCTTCCTTGTTAACTTTTCAGTCTCCGGATTCCTTCTCAGTTCAGAAGGAGTGGTTTGACTGACACTCAGAGAAGGTGTCTAGGAAAGCTATCTGTACTGAAGATGCAACCTATAAAGTAAAAACTGGAAAGTAACAAAAATTGGCCTAGACATCAAATACTAAGCTTGTGAAGTGCTGACATGCCTAAAAAGGTAAGTCTGGCTTTCTTTATTAATTGTCTCTGACCTGTAAAGAAGACATCAGTCAAATGCCGTTGCAAATAAACAATCACCTGTTCATTTCAAATGCCACTCGAGTTATTCCATGGCTTGGCTATTTGTGCCTTTTTTTTTTTTTTTTTTGACAGGCAGAGTGGACAGTGAGAGAGAGAGACAGAGAGAAAGGTCTTCCTTTGCCGTTGGTTCACCCTCCAATGGCCACTGCGGCTGGCGCACTGCGCTGATCCGATGGCAGGAGCCAGGTGCTTCTCCTGGTCTCCCATGGGGTGCAGGGCCCAAGGATTTGGGCCATCCTCCACTGCACTCCCAGGCCACAGCAGAGAGCTGGCCTGGAAGAGGGGCAACCGGGACAGAATCCGGTGCCCTGACCGGGACTAGAACCCGGTGTGCTGGCGCCACAGGCGGAGGATTAGCCTATTGAACTGCAGCGCCGGCCTATTTGTGCTTCTTGCTCATAAAAGCGCTCTTTAGTTCTGCCACCCCTCACCCAAAACACAGCTGAACAGTATATTACATGACAATACGCAATACTCACTGAGAATTTTTACTTTACATAGAATATCTTATTCAATCCCAACAGTTTTGCAGTTTGCATATTATTATTATTCCTTAGTTTTAGGGAAATGAAATAACTCGCCAAAGATCATGCAGCTGGTATGTAGCCAACAGAACTGAAACTCTGATCTGTCCTGCTTTCCAGGCTGCAGGTGCTATTTCATTCCTTACACTAACTTTGTGAGACCTCGACTGGGGCCATTTGGTCTGTGCTGCTCATTGATAGTGTGACACTGCATAGGTTTCCAGATGTCTGGACATCATAATCCCTTCCTCAAAGAGCTCTAGTAACCCCTCAGCTCTATGATTGTGCGTTTGAATCAAAGCCAATGACTTATCTGTATGAAAGTTGTCTCACTGCATTTTACGTTCTCTGTCCAAGTGGGCAGTGACTATGTCCTTGTTGCTGTCACCAGTGAAGGAGAGACATGGATTGTATCAGCTTAGGGCATCCTTGCTGTGTCTCTTCTCTGGAGCAAAGTATTCATAGGAAGTGAAGAGAAAGCCATACACAGGAAAAAATAATAACAAAAGCATTATATAAGTTTTATTAAAATTATACTAGACCAAAATCTGAATCATATTATGTTTGTAAGGAGAAAGCAACAGATAATGTGAAATATTTTATGTGATCCTCTTTTACAAATCTGGAAATTACTGTATAAGTAGGATTGCTTTTGATTGCAAGTAAAAAAATAAAGCTACTCAACAGTGTTGGCTCATAACTTATCACTCGTTATGCATGATGTCTGTAACGAAGTAGTTCCAGAATTAGTTTAGCTGGTGATGTTAGATGCCTGAGTTTATGTCTCTGTTTTTCTTGGCCTTTCCTATATGGTCATAAATTGGTGATCATATGCATCATGTTTTTCACAAGACAGCATCCCACGCAGCAGAGAAGGGCTGGAGGAAAGTGAGCACTCGCCCTATTTACCTTCCACATCAGGGACAAGAATCTTCCCTTGCATTAGATTGGGTGGGTCATATGTCATCTCAGGACCAATCGCTGGCCAAGAGGAAATGAGGTCTCATTGCCTTGGACCAATCATGATTCTTTTCCTGGTCATCTAAAGAAAAGTAGTGTTTTGCTGGCCAAGGAGATAGAGTGACTGTTGCAGGCATCATCATCTGGCCACCGTCTCCCTCTCCAAGATCATCTCTGAGAATTCCCATCCTTGGTGTCTGCCCTCCATGCACCTTGACCTTCACACATGCTGTTCCCTCTCCCTGGCTCACTCTTCTCCCATCTGTCACTCAAAGATCATTTCTCAGTGTGCACTTCTCGCCCCAAGACAAGTCCCAATTCTTTCTGCTACATCACACTGCTGTGTTAACTTCAGAACATATTTCCCTATTTGTAGTTTTGCATTCACTGGACTATTGGATTATGTCTCTTCTTCCACAAGCTTGTATAATCCACAGGGATTAGTACTATGTCTATTTCTGCCAGACATTCTGTCCCCAGTAGCTAACTTAAATGTCTAGTACTGTATGCTACTATACTACCAAGTATTATGTTATGAATAAACAGATAAGTGAAAAGATGAGTAGCTCTTTTATAAGTGTTTATTTTCATTTTATTTATTAAAAAGGCAGAGAGGGGCTGGTGCTCTGGTATAGCTGGTAGGGCCGCTGCCTGCAGTGTCGGCATCCCATGTGGGCACCAGTTCATGTCTTGGCTACTCTTCTTCTGATCCAGCTCTCTGCGATGGCCTGGGAAAGCAGTGGAAGATGGCCTAAGTCCTTGGGCCCCTGCACCTGCTTGGGAGACCTGGAAGAAACTCCTGGCTCCTGGCTTCGGATTGGTGTAGTTCTGGCCATTGCAGCCATTTGGGGAATGAACCAGCAGATGGAAGACCTCTCTCTCTCTGTCTCCCCTCTCTGTGTGTAACTCTGACTTTCAAATAAATAAATAAATCTTAAAAAAAAAAAAAGGCAGAGAAAGAGAGACAGAGATTTCCCATCCACTGGATCACTATCCAAATGCTGACAATAGCTGGAGCTGAGTTAGGCCAGGCCAAAGCCAGGAGCCTGGAACTCAAACCAAATCTTGCATGTGGGTGGCAGGGAACCGTCTACTTGAGCCATCACTGCCGCCTCCCAGAGTGTGCATCAGCAGGAAGCTGGAATCAGAACCATAGCCAGAACTGGAACTCAGATGCCGTGATATGGAGTTCATCTACTGCATCAAATGCTGTCCCCATGGTTAATTTTGACCTCCTCCTTATCGCGTCCTTCCTTGTGCTCCTCTGATAACGTGATTCCTCATTTTGTGGCCCTGGTTTTGGCGTGGCCCAGTCCTGGCTGTTGTGAGCATTTGGGAAATAAACCAATTGATTGGAGTTTCTGTTTATCTGTGTCTCTCTACCTTTCAAATAAAATGAAAATTAATTTGAAGATTTTTTTAAACTCAAAGATGAAGGAGAGAGCAAGGAGCTGGAGAAATCGAGGACTTGTGGCAGGAAGGATAGGAGGGAGAGGGTGGGGGAGAGGGGGAGGAGGGTGGGAGATGGTGCATGGGGAGAATGTGTTTGTTTACGTGATCTTAAATGGTGGGCAATGGCTGAGCTGGGTCATGTAGAAGGAGGTCCTGGTGAAGTGTTCAGGGAACTGAGCAGTTTTTGTGGATGTGGATGTCTAGTTCACGGAACAAAATCCTTCTGAAGTTCTTTAAAAGCATTTGAGACATGAGAAACAGATTACAGGTAACCATTTCTGCCTACCTCCCCCAAGGTCCATGCACAAGTGTCCT